GCTCCCGACCCCTGTAGTAAAATGACAGGCCACAAAAAGGTGGCGACAAACAGGATGTATGCAAGAATGAACCAACAACATTTTACAGGCATGCACAGGAGCAGGCAGGCAGGAAGAAGTATGAAGCATGAGCAGAGAATCCTTCTACAGCACTAACCCTGAAACCAGATTGCAGATGTATTACGAGATGGAAATTCATCTTCATTATGCACCTCCTTGCTGGCAAGAACAACCGGGGGTGGGGGGATATCATCAACTCTCAAAACATTTTGTCCTCATTTTCCACTTCAGAGGGACAGTCAAGTCATTTCCCCTCAATTAAAATCCATTTCCAAAATAGATTCCCCCCCTTCGGATGTGCTAGAAGGCTTTATAGTACCGCTTCACAGCTAACTGTATCACTATTATACCAAACACTGCCTCAACACAAGAACACAATATCTTTTATCATCTGCATATCTAAGCCATCTATTCTACTAATTACTAGCTGGATTGCAAGAGAATGATAATTGCAGGTGGGTTTGGAGGAAGCAAAGTATTTGTGCAGAATGGGTGGGGGAAAGAAATTAATAATGTGATATAAAAGCAAACAGGCTGCATACTGGCAACGGATGATACTGGAAAATCTTTACACTTGTGAAGATTTGTGTGTCTTTGGGAGAGAATTTCCCTCAGAAATGTTCAGGTAGGTTTGTTTGCTTTTAACCTTATTATCCAGTGCATTGAGACAACTCATCAAAGAATGTGGGCAAGGGCTGGGATTTTGCTCCCTGTCCCAATGAAAATTAATGCTACTTTTAAAATTTCCAGGTAAGTGTCCTTAGCTGTGGAGTGTGGAATCCTGAGTTTTACACTCATTACACTGATTGCTCTAAGCAGTACAAAATAATGCCATAAACACTGCTAAAGTTTTACTATGAAGTTCAAGGCTACTGGTTTTTTCTAAGCTTACCAATTTTAATACACTGCAGGCAGGTATGAAATAAAAAGGCTGCAATCCTCTTCCCATTTTCCTGAGAGTAACTCCACTGAACATGCTGCATAATCCTAAGAATGTGTACTCAGAGTTCATTCCTACTGAACTCAATGAAACCCACTCCCAGGTAAGTGAAGTGAGGACTGCAACCTTCTTAATGCAGTGCAAGTCATTAACTGCACAATCCTATGCAGGTCTACGCAGAAATAAGTCCCACTGTATTAAGTGAGGCTTACTCTCAGGAAAGTGGGGAGAGGACTGCAAAGGGTTGTATGCAATGCTAGTCCTACTCAGAGTAAACCCATTTAAATTAATGGATGTGGTTAACTTAGGTACATTAATTTCAATAGGTGTAAAAATTATTTGAGTGCAACCCAAAACTTCTACTACCAGTTACAATTTAATACCTATCAGGGGAAGGAGCAAGACCATCAAATATGTTTTTAAATCCATGTATCATAAGCACATGTAGGAGAAACCTACTGTTTAATGCTTCTGTCATATGTTTTATAACACATCCTGTATATCTTAATAAATATCTGGGACCTTAGTCTACAAAGCTGAAGACACTCCTTTAATTTAGTATATTGTATTTATAAGATGGGCATATAAAACATCACATAGTTCACATGGCAAGATACTTTCCCTTCACTCGAAAACAATCAGAGCATAGAATTGCATCTCAGAAAGGATGCACAGCATGTGGGAGAAAGATGGAAAAATAAATTCCAATAATAAAAAATATTTATTTTTCCTCCTCATTCAGTAGCTAGCTTGCTCACTGTTAATATTCCTCAGTACTTCATATTCCTACGCTGTTCTGTTTGTCACAGCTAGGGATGTGGGTGCACATATGAAATCAATTCTGTGCTGTGTTGTTTAGTTCAAGTAATTAATAGACAGAGAAATGCAAACACATAAGCACACTTGCCGTTATTTCCGCAAATGCACCCAGAGTCAAAACAGGCATATTTGATGTGTCTTCAGGGCAATGTCAGCAGCTGGATTTATTTTTGACACTATAACAAAGAGTCTCATGGCACCTTGAAGACTTAACAAATTTACACTACAGGACATCCATCTCAACAATTAAGCTGCAGAGAAGGGCTCCATACAACCAAGATAGATTTCTGAGTATTTGTAAACTGCAACCATAGGATATAAAATGATCATTTAGTGCAGTCCTATATTGATCTGCCCAGAAGTAAGCCCCCTTCCTCTGGGGGTGGGGAAGGGAAAGTCTGATTAAAAAGACTCCACCATCAAAACCACATGCTTCTACTGGTGCTGATTAGAGCCGCTGAAGCTTGCTTGAGCTCCACTCCACCGTAGACAAAATACAACTGCAAGCTCTCCCTCCTACACACACAACGGCTACTATCATTATTCATTTCCAAATAATGAATCCAACAGTTTTTTTCCAATGCCCAGCAGAAGCACTTGCAGGAAGCTAAGAGTGTATGAGAGCACCTGCGTTGATTGATGGATTGCAAGTGTTAAGTGAAAATGACCAGAGGTGCCAGGAGTGAGGAAACTGCTAAGCATATCACCAGGAAGACTGGAAAGTAGCTGGGAAAAGGTGAAGGAGAAAACGAAGGCAAGGAGAGGTCACTAGGAGCTGCCTTCTCATTCACCCTAACCTGGATTTCACAAAGACCCTGGAACTTGGAGAGAAATATATTGCCACACCTTGAAGCAACACTCTTTTTTCCCCTTAAAGACTGTCTTCACTTAACTGTTAGTAAAGCACATCCGTAAAGCACATCTACAAATTCCTTCCCACCAGCTAAGTTAGAATTTCAAGTCAGTAAATAATTGAATTTCTGCTGACTTTAAAGATGTTAAAAGCTCATGGTTGTGTTGTGACACACTTTTAATAAAGACAAATAAAGCCAGTATGTCTGCTTTAGAGCCAACACTGTAGCAGTTATGAGAGTGCAAAGCCGGGAGCCCAGAGTTCAAATCTCAACTCATGAACTCATTAGGCAACCCACCATCCCATCACTTCATCCACAACAAGGAGATGAAAGCAAAGAACTGCCTTACAAGGTTGTTGTAAGCAATACAGATCATTTAAATTGATTTTTTTTGGGGGGGATGATAGAGAAATGCAAGTGCTGAATATCATTATACTCATATAACATGAAAAAGCTGAACTCCTATCTGGGCCTGAGAGGGAATATCTTTCTGATGTGAGAGTATCCCAGAGAAAAACACATTAATTAAAAGGAACACACATAGCACCTACAGTTAGAGTAATAAAAGGACAATAATACAACAACTGTGAGCAAAGGGGACCCCCTATAGGCAAAATAAATGTTAGGAGATAGCTAAAACACATACTACATAATTTCTGATTGTATATACTGTATATAGCCTACCGATCTGTTTAAAGAGCTGTACGTCTCTCACACACTGCAATTTACGGTGTACAAATTCAATTATAAACATGACAATCAAATACACTTCAGTCTATTACCGCATCTTTCCAGTGTATGTGTGTGCAATTGGACACATTTAGAATCTGCAGCACATAAAAACCCCACAATGTGAAGTGCAAATGTTAGAACACAGACAATACCAAAGTTGCACACCAGTCTACAGGCAAAAGTTGCTGTTCCTGCACACAAAGCTGGACACATGGGTCTAAAAAAATGCAGCACATCACACTAAGGATATGTTCATGAATGTGAGATTCTCTTACATGGACTATTTGATGGATTATTATCACTCTCCCCCCCCCCCCCAATACACACTGTTGCACCTTCACTTGACCCACAGCACCCATCAATCCACATGCGCCTGGTCCGAGTAAAGGGACTGTGCATCCAATCTACACCACCTGGTGTACAACATTCGGTTATTTATTTCAAGCGGGGATTCCACCTACAATTCAAGGGTGGTTGGAAGATTTGTGCAAGGTTCCTGCGGGTTTGCACTACGGTTGTGTGAATGGGGTGCGCGCGTGCGTGTCGCGATCCCAGCAGCAGAAGTGTCGGAGTGTCCTTAAGAGATCTCGCCTGACTTACACTGAGCATATCCTGCACATAATTCATGCCGAAAGCAAGCCCCACCGCGTCCAATTGAGCATGCTATACTACCTAGTAAGTGAGCTCAGGATTGCAGCCTTATTGATTGTGACTTCCCGTTGTTCTCCTCCTGCAACATCAGACCCACGCGCGCACACACAGACACACACGCACGGACATGTCAAGTCCAGTTAGAGCGGAGTCGAGGTAGAGGAGAGGGAAAGGGACTATCGCATCTCCAAGGGCGCGCGCACAAGCTCTTCCATCGCGCCAGCCAGCCAGCCAACCCTCCTCCTCCTCTTCTTTTTCTTCCTCCTCCTCCCCCTCGAACCAAACTTACCTGCTTGCCCAGTGGAAGTTTCAGTTGCTGCTGCTGCTCCTGCAGCAGCGCCGCCTCCACCCCGCGCGGCTCCGGTGGCCAGCCATCGCGCCCGGCTGCCGACGCTGCTGCCCTCGTCGTGCCTCTCCCCGGCGCGGCAGCTACGCTGAAGGCGAATATAAATCCACATAGCCGAGGATGCAGCTGCTGCTGATTGCCCGCATCATCATCCCTCCTCCCCTTCCCAGTCCTCCTCGCAGGGGCGACTCAGCGCCAAAAGCAGAGAGAGGAGACCCCGGCTTGTCCGCAAAGGCAGACAGGCTGCTTCGGAAACGCGAAGCTTCCCCAGCCGCGTCTGCTGCCTTGTCACTGCTCTCGCTCTCTCGCCTTTGCACACCCAGCCGCTCTGCGCCGGGCAGACTGGCAGCAGAGAACCCGATCCCTTCAGAGCGGTTTGCCTCCTCGGCCGCTAATGAGCATGCCCGGGAGAGGAGGAAGGACATGCGCGCTGCCGATGCCGAAGCCTCTGCCTTCACCTGCTGCCAGATTCTTGTGCAGGTGCACTGGGAGGAAAGCAGAGAAAGAAGGCGGGAGGGAGGGATTTAGGGAAGGGGGCAGAGGAGCCCAATTCTAACCGGGAAGTGAAGGGGAGGCTTTCCCTAGAGATGATCCTTACTTCGGATGGGGAACAGAGCGCAAAATGGGAGAAAGGGGATTTGACGAGAAGCGGCGAAAAGGGAGGTGGAAGTGGGAATATTTTCCAGTCTCTCTCTGTCACACACACACTGCTCAGATCCGTCTTCACCGCCTCCTTGCTTCTCCCCAGAAAACACCCATATTCATGGATTGCGAAAGACTGGGAGATGGGTGGATGGGGGCCACAGAATGCGCAAAGGGGGAGAAATGCCGCTAAGCTGGGAATCCGGGGAGAAAGAGGCAAGCGACGCTCAGCGGCGGCGGCGGGGGCTAGGGAGGGGAGGAGACGGGCGGTGTCAGCTAAGAGGGTGCAGCGAAACACACGCAGATTATTGGGGAGAAAAGCAACAGGTGAAGACTGCCGCCGGCAGACCCCGAGGATCCTTGAGAACGACCGCAGGAAGAGAAGGATTGGCGAGGAAATCTGAGCCTCGCATTCAGTTGGCTTGGGGAGATACGCCTGCCGTATCAGAGCCACAACCCGGACCATGCACCGGGTCCAGGATGCTGAATCTGACTCTCCAGGTGCCTCTCATGCAGAAAAGCGACCTTCCCACTACCTCCTTACCCGATCCATTTAACTGGGGATTAGAACCTGACAGCTGCTCCCTGCAAAGATCAGCCATTGGAAATGGGGCGGGGGAAGAAGGAATAAATGGAGAGACCTATGGGTGGGGTGCAAGGCAACAATGCCCTTGGCCCCTTTCCTACACGTGCAGAAATCTTTTGTGAGCAAACGAGCGGAAAGATGGGAAGCTGCCAAACTGTGGAGGCTGATCCGTTAGGGCAAATGGGGCACTGCCTGCCTCAGTCTGTTGTCAGCCAATTCTCACCTGCCTGCTCTCTTACTTACAACAGGTTCAGAGGGTGGCCCTGGCCTTGTTTGGTAGTCTCTGTTCTGGCCTTGTAGAACTTGTATGGGGACAAAACTAGAGTAAGTTGGCTCCAGCTGTCACTGGTTCTAGCTCCACCTACAATTGGCCTTCTGCCTTGCATCCCATCAGTCAAGGGCACCAATCATCACTGGAGCCAAAGATCTAAGGATGAGTATACCAGGAGGAGTTCACATTAGGGTCCACCTGCAGCTGCTAGGAATCACATTTATCTGGTTCCAGCCAACACAGTATGAGGAAAAGGTGGAAGTATGGAAGTAAACTTGGTTAGGCCTTTCACAATAAAATCTTATTTCACCTTCTTCTTTTATCATTTGCTGCTTTCCTTTTAGATTTCTTGAACCTGCATCATTGTTCCAATTGAACAATCATTTTATTTATAAAGAACACTATCATTAGGTCATTCATGGGGTTTTTTAGCAAATGAGTATACAAGGAGAGACATTCAATATCTGTCATTCCAAAAATCCAAGTTTTTTAGTGTTGCTTCCTTCCTTTGCCTTCCCACCCCTCATCTCAGTTTTAACAAAAGTCTGGAAAATCTGGTTTCCCTAATATTTTTATTGTCGTTCTGCCCTCTATCTAGCATGTGCCAAAGAGGAAGGGATGTAGCAACAGCTGAAATTATAATCATACTAGCAGCCTAAGAAAGAACAACAAAAATCAGCAGTTTGGAAATTAGTGGTTAAAATCAGTTTAGTTTTAAAAGATTCTATCCACCATCTTGGTTCAATATGTCCAGCTGTATCCAAACATAAACGAAAACCTGCTTCTTGATCTCAGGAACAATCATTCAAAATTTGGCTACATTATATTAAGGGATGTCCAAATGCACAGTGCTGTTTTCAAAGTTTCACTCCACCATCTTGATTCAAAATGGCAACCAAGTATAATAAAACAAAAGATGAAAATCTGCTTCTTTATCACTGGAACCATCTTGCAAAATTTGGTTATGATACATGTGAGAGAAAAACGAATACATTTCCTTCTTCTCAACTTCTAGTTTATGCGTGCTTTACTTTAAACCACACGAGGGCACTATTTGTCTAGCAATCTAGTCAGCACTTGTGTGTAGTCTTTGCTTTGTCTAAGTTAACTCCGCCCCTAAAAGCTGAGCCATTTTAGTGTTCTCTCCCAACTCTTGAGACAAGATGCCTGCTATTCTCTCTTTCATCGCCACATAACCTGTAAATAGTTCCTGCATGAATAAAGCCTTTGAACTCCAGAAACATTAAGTGATTATTCCAAACTAATTCACCCAAGCGGCAAAGTCTGCCAGCAATATATTCATGCATAGAAAACAGAGAATATCCCAAAATATGTAGTAGATAATATAATATACTTTAGTAGGTGGCACTGACTCCCAAACTTGTGTTTTACCTACATCTCCTCCTGATCCTATTCTTCTTAGTCCTCTGAAAAACTGAGCATTTTTCAAAAACCTAACTGGAGGAAGTAATGGTTATGATAAAACATGTGGCCAGTACGATTTATTGTAGTTGCAAAATGCATGCGTTTTGTTTTGTGTAGACTTATATGCTTGTCTCTAAAAACAAAAACAGAAAGATAGGAGTGTTGTATAGTGTATGATGAAGCTGTTTTTGTTTTTCACAGAAGGAATCAGGCAGCAACACAAGAGTCCTCCCTCGACTGTTAGTCACTGCAGTGGTATAGTGCTGTTCTGCTACTTTCCCCCAGCAACAGCATTTTTGTCATACGTTCTTACATTCCTGTGTCATCAGCTGGAGTGGTATTTGCCAGTGTTGTAGGTTTTGTTAGACTTGAGAAGAGATCTGGCTTGGCACATGATCCTTTTGCAAGGTAGGGTAAGCTCAGTGAACTTATTAGCTGATCAGGGATACACACCCAGTTCTCCCCAACCAAGGTACGACATGATAACCACTACCCCATCATTTGCCAGTTCATGCATTGGTCAAATCTCAATGGGAAATTGTGGTCAAGAAAAAGAAAGTAAAACCACAGATTTAAGTTTGCATAGATGATTAACTATGAACTATGTTGTAGGTTCCTATACATAGATACCTGAGAGAAAGTAGTGTTGTGTTCAAAAAGCGTTGCTTCTGAGTAGACATGTATAGTATAGGACTGCACAGTCAGGGATGCAACTGGGCTGAGGATTAAATCAGACTTGGATATTCTCAGTGTCTGGAAGGGAAAGCATGGCTCAAGAGTGTCCCAAATTCCTGCCCACTGGCTTTGTCCCTTTGAACACAGTGAGATCCACTGGGAATGAAGCCAACAATAATCTGTATGGTTTTACTGCGAATTCTGTTTCTAGGTCCTAATAAATCTTGATGGAATATTACAAACAAGCTTAGATAGATGACATTATCTACTGAGTCTGTGGATGGGATACAAATGTGTTAAAATAAATCAATCTAAATATATACTAGGAGCTCCCTACTTGGTGTTGCTCGCCAACCCTACCATCCTGCCACCACTCTGTACCAACCTCTGCCACCTCCCTTTACACCTCACCCAACTCCTTCATCTGCTCACAGCTCTTTCAAGCCCCTCATATCATCCCAGTTCCTCTGAATCCCTCTGTCCCTGGTTTATTCAAACTTCTGCTGTTGTTTAAAACCACAATTTCAAAACATGCCTTCTCTTTTGCTCCCCGAAACAGCTTTGATATTTTACAAATCCAAGACTGTGATGCGGCACTGCAAATTCTCCCAAGGGTGCTGCGTGACAACAGCCTTACATTTTTATGTATATAGGAAGATGCACGCACACACATGCACTCTAACAGCATAGAATGTGGGGGCTTTTTAAAAAAAACAAAAGACTGATGTAACTAAAGAAACTATGGCTTATAGGGAGGGATAGGATGGGAAATTCCATTCAATTTGCATTTAAAGGCAAACCTAGTTAATATATGCTTTCAAAAACATACCCAATCTGAAATATAGCCATTCTTTGAAATTTGCACCTCCATATTTTGCAGCACAATTCTCCAGACAAGTAATGTGTACAAAAATGCACACAATAGGGTAAAGTACGTATTGCAATATGTATAGTGTGGCATAATGGTTAGAGCATTGGACTAGGAACTGGGAGACCAGGGTTTGAATCTGCACTCAGCCATGAAGCTCACTGAGTGACCTTGGTCTAGTCACCATCTCTTAGCCTAACCTACCTCACAGAGTTGTTGTGAGGATGAATTGTGAGAAGAACTGTGTACACCACCCTAAGATCCTTGGAGATATAGGTGGCATATGAATGTAATAAATAAATAGTGTACAAACAAATGTACCGGTATATATTAGGGGAAATTGTTTTGCAAAAAATGTGTGCATTGTGGACCATGGCACACAAAAATGTGCGTGTTACGAGAAAAGCACACTAAAATGCTGATGATTTTTAGAAGGACTTAAAAAATTTAAAATGTGGGGAACTGAATTTAAGAATAGAAAAAAATGTGCAACTGAGAGAAGCTAAAATTGACAGATTTCCCCCTACCTATATGCCTCTCTCTCTCTCTCTCTCTCTCTCTGTGTGTGTGTGTGTGTGTGTGTGAGAGAGAGAGAGAGAGAGAGAGAGAGAGAAATGTCAGACTTTAAGCATTTATACCCTGTCTTTTGACCTACAAGGCCTTCAAGGCAGTTTATAATCCAAAGCAACAGCAAAATCCATATTAAAACAGTTTGAAGTTAATTAGCCGAAAATACACACAACACAATAAAGAAACTAGCAGCAACATTAACATTGCTTATTTGTAGTGCAGGTATTTTGTTGTATTTTACGTAACCTTGAGTGATGAAGGATGGGACAGAAATAAATAAATAAATCATTGCAACCTTACAAATTCATACTCAGAAGTAAGTCCTATTGAGTTCAATGGAACTTACTCCCACATAGGTAGGTATATATCTACTGAAAGGAACCAATGGCCCTCCAGCTGTTGTTGAATTCTAAGGCATTCAGTCCCAGCCAGCATGTCCAATGGTCAGGGATTATAGAATTGTAGAATTGGCAGGGACCCCAAGGGTCATCTAGTCCAACCTCCTACAATGGAGAAATCTTAACTAAAGCACCCATGACAAATGGCCATCTAACCTCTGCACAAAAGCCTCCAATGAGGGACAGTCCACAACCTTCTGAGGAAGTCCATTCTACTGTTGAACAACTCTTGCTGTCAGAAACGTCTTCCTAATGTTTAGTCAGAATCTCCTTTCTTGTAACTTGAGTCCATTGGTTAGTGTCCTACCTTTTGGAGCAGGAGAAAACAAGTTTGCTCCATCTTCTACGAAGCTGAGCAATGGGAGGTGCAGCCAATCAACATCTGGTGGGCACTCTCTTCCCCCATCCCTGATCTAGAGGATGTCAACTTTCAGGCATATCTTTTTAAAAAAACTTTCACGTTTCACAATTCGTGTTGACAATTATGTGTGACCAGTTGCATTTGTGTTGTCCTACTGAACTCAATAGAGCTTACTTCTAAGTAAAGGTAAATGTAAAGGACCCCTGGACGGTTAAGTCCAGTCAAAGGTGACTATGGGGTTGCGGTGCTCATCTCACTTTCAGGCCAAGGCAGCCGGTGTTTGTCCACAGACAGCTTCTGGGTCATGTGGCC